GAATCATAATCAGAACAAGAACAAGAACCATTACCAGAACCAGAACCAGAACCAGAACCAGAACCAGAACCAGAACCAGAACCAGAACAGAACATGATTCTTTATTGGCCAAGTATGATTGGACATAGAAGGAATTTGTCTCCGGTGCCTAAACTCTCAGTGTATATATAAATGGTATGAGGTTCCTGCTTGAGCAAGGGTTGGGCTAGAAGACCTCCAAGGTCCCTTCTATCCCTGTTAAATCTGTTTTCTTCTCTCTCTCTCTTTCTCTCTCTTCCGTTCCCCCTGCCTGTAGCATTCCAGCCTCTTTGCAACCTCCAGCCCATCCGGCCTGCCAGAGGATCCACTCTCGTTACCACCCTCGCCGAGTTTGGTCTGGTCCCCAACTGTGGCTCCACCTCGTTACTCCCCACCGTATTTTCCACCTTCCGAAAAGCCGCCGCCTTATTCGCCGTGAAGAGCGAGCAGAAGGGGAGAGGATGCCGTCCCTTGAACTGTCAGCAAAACTTTTGTACTGGAACAAGCTAACTGGCACGCCAGACCTTTCCCCAGTTTCCTTTCTTTTCCGGGAGCCTTGTGGCCGTCACTCTTGAGCAGGTTTCTCCAAATTTGACAACTTTTAAGATGTGCTGACTTCCGACGCCCGTGGCTGGCTGGGGCATTCTGGGAGTTGAAGTCCACAGACGTCTTAAAAGTTGTTGCCAAGTTTGGAGGTCCCTGCTTAAGGATGATCCAAAATGCCCTGGATCCTTGCTTGTTTTTAACGGCCGGAGATTTAACCGTGGCCTGTTTTCTTTTTAAAGAAAAGTTGCATTTTTTTTTTCATGCTCTTTGAGCGAATCGCTTGCTAAAAATAGCCTTTGGTGATCTGGGAACTAACTTCAGCTCATCAAAAATTGGACTTCTTGGTCCAACTGTCGGGTGGACCATGTGTTCTGACCGAGGCTTCCTGAGAGCATGAAGCAAACTCCTTGTCCCGACAAAACCCCCTTTTATTAATTGATGGTGAATTCTGGTCCTTCACCTCCAGCAAAGTCTTTCCAGGGAGGATTTACAGTCACAGACCTTATCTGGCTTGGAGAGCTGCCAGGCCGATATCTGCAAAACTTGGCAAGGAGTCTCAGAGAGTCGCAAAGCAATGAAGCGGACTAATTGTCTCCTGCAAACTCCACTCCCCTTTCGCTCCTCTTTTATTTCCTCTGGGAGGGGCCATTCATAGTCCACCTGTGGCCTTACCCCCAAGTTGACCCCTGTTCTTTAGCTGTTCCCTTCGTCTGGCAACTCTGCTCCTGCGCACACTGGGAACAGGCTCCAGCTGTTCTTCTGCCTCATTAATGTCTGACTCTGAAGGCAGCTGATAACTGGCATACGGCTGTGCATTTCCCAAACTGGCAGAGACTCAAGGAAAGTCAGCTTGGCAGTCGCAACTATGGAATCATAGATTTTCAATCCTATTTACTTGGGTTGTAATGGACCCAAACAACAGGAGCAGAACTTGGATCGATCGATTGTGGCTGCCAGATTTATATATTTGACCCAGATGACTCCAAGAATTGGAATCCCTGCCAGTCTCCGATAAATCTCCTACAAAGCCTATCATTGTTCATCGCTGGAGATGTTGGGAAGTTCAGCCCTGTAGCTGAAGTGGCCACATGTCTCTGCTGTTCGTTTCAAGGAAGTCCCAAAGAGTCGGAGTGCATTAATTCTTTTTAAAACAGGGTGTGGAGAGCAGGAAAACAGCCGAAGGACAAATTTGCAAATGGCCAAGACTGAAGGCAGGATAGTATATGGATTTCAGTGCTGCTGATTGAAGAGACATACCCAGTGGTAGATTCATTGGCGTTGTGCTGGGGGAGGTGTGTGGAACCAGATTTCTTTTCTTTCAAATAAAGAAAAAAGCTATCCTAGGTGTTTCTCAACGTGGCCCCTTTAAGATATGTGGACTTCAATTCCCAGAATCCCCCAGCCACTGGGAAAAACTATACGCTACTGAAACTCTTATTGTGGTGATCTTTTAACTGGATGAAGCAGTGCCTCGTAGGGCAACTGTTTTTGAATCAAGATACCTCAAATGGGCCAATTTACAGAATTGTGTCCAAAATCCAGGACCCATCACTCCTTTTAAGGAATGACATTTGGGAAGATTGTGACTGCTTCGGTACCACCGATCGCTGCGGTCATGCGATCTTCCTTTTCAAAGTTCCCTGACAGTTTCCCAGGCAGTCTAGCAATCCCTTGCTGCCTCCTCCACCCAGCAGCAGCCTGGTACGGTAAAAAAATAAAATAAAAATTGGTCCCATCAACAGCTGTAGTCGTTAGATCTAAATTTGTGGTTTCTTTAAAAAAAAAAGACTTGGAACATGTCCCTCTTTTATATGTGTGTGTGCGCATGTGCACACCTGGGAAAATTGCATGAATAAATGAATATTTCTACCGCTTTGCACATTGTTTACTTGCTGCACACCCGACAAGAGGTGCTTTGTTGAAAATTTGGAAGCACAAAGTGTGACGTGGGGGTGAAAAGATCATGTACCTGAACAACAGGATTGTTTTGTTTTTTTTTACTTGTAGCATTTCTGGATTAAACCTTGCTCAACATGTGTTAAAAGGCAGTGGGACTAACAGGAGCCGTGGCTCAATATAGAATGGGCAAGGGAGGATCCGTTTATGATGAATGCTTCAATGCGGTGCTGCAAATAAACCACTTTTTTTATAAGACCCACACAACGGTAGTTTCATGCGTGTGCCACTTTCCAAACTTCTCATCTTAACAACTTTGAACATTGAGATCTGTAATTTTAACCGATGTGCCCCCAAAATCGGTGGCAGTTACATAGATGGGTTCCAGAATCTTGGGGAGGAGGGGCACCTCAAGTGGATTCTTTAATATCATTGCAAACTCAAAGGTATGGGTAAAACTTGGCCCATGTAACGGTTAACAGAGCCCGTCCATTATGGACGTACCGTATTTTTCGGAGTATAAGATGCACCGGAGTATAAGACGCACCAAGGTTTTGAAGAGGGGAAAAAAACCACAAGTTTTTGCACTCTGCAAACCTCCCCAAAACAGCCCGTTTTTTTGTGAAAACGGGACCATTTTTTTTTACCAAAAAAAGGCATGAATAGCCTTTAGGGAGTGCTCCTGGGGGGGGGAGCAAAAACGAGCAAAAATGTCCTGTTTTTTGCAAAAATGGGCCCGTTTTTCATTTTAAAAAAGGCAATGGATAGCCTTTAGGAAGCTTATAGAGTGCTCCTGGAGGCTGGGGAGGGGGGGATTGAGCAAAAAACAGACCGTTTTTTGCTCATTTCTGCCTTCCCCAAGCCCAGGAGCTCTCTAAAAGCCTCATACATGCTCTGCACAGACATTTTGGTGAAGGGGGTGGAGTTCCGGGAGGCAAAAAATGCTGTATTCGGTGTATAAGACACACCCAGATTTTCAGCCTCTTTTTGGAGGGGGAAAAGGTGCGTCTTATACTCCAAAAAATATGGTATGTTGTAACGGCTGTAAAACGGATTGGAGGTTAAAAGCAAATTTGCAGTCTTGAATTTAAACCTCAAGAGTCCTTCAGCAAACCGGTGATTCTCTCTAGGTGCAGTTTGGCTGAAAACAAAGGGCCGGTTTTGGGCCAAAGCATCCTGAAATGTGGTCCCGTGACTACAGGCTCCTGCAAACGGTCTTAAAATGAAGCCACGTTGCTGCCAGATCCCCAAGGTTTGGTCACATGACTGTCATAATTTCAGATCTGATCGCAAGTCCCTTTTTATAGAATAGATTGGAGCTGGAAGGGACCTTGGAGGTCTTCGAGTCCAACCCCCTGCGTAGGCAGGAAGCCCTACACCACCCCGTATTTGTTGTAAAAAGAAGAAGAAAAACGTTCGGCACCTCTTCAGAATGGTAAGTGTTTATTTACTTATTTATTTTGCCATACAAAGCTCTAAGGACTAAAAGTCAAGTATTGGTTAATGAAAAGCAGAACAACGAATTCCCAGAAAAGGTTAAGGAAAAAAGCTGTACAACTATATACATTACAGTACTGTATTGATAAAATAAAAAATAATAATAACACCGCTCTGTAAAAACCGTCGTCGAAATAAAAACCACTGCCCCTCTTTTCTTTTTTGCATCTTTCGTTTTGCTACTAAGTGATAACGCTCCGGTAGGAAATAAATTAAACCAAGTACTGATATATATATATTTTTTCTTATTAATCTCGCCGTCCTATACAGGAATGCACAAACGCACATTTGAAGAGGAGTCGATCTCTCTCTCTCTCTCTCTCCTGCCCCCAATATAACAAATTCATAACTCAGAAATACCTGCGCCAAAAAGAGGGAAAAAAAACCTCAAGGTTTTCAAATATTGGATTTATACAAACTTTAGGCAGGCAGGCCTATTTGATTCCTCTCAGAATGCAGAATATCTTCTCCCCAACGATTCAGCAAATATCTTCTCCCCAACGATCCAGCAAGCGTGACAATGCTATTTTTTTCATCCTGTTACATTGCATGCAAGTTTTTAAAACGGGAGGGGAAACCCAAAAAGAATTTTTAAAAAAAATAGGGATTCTTGCAATGGTGTCTCTTTTTAGGACGGGGGACATTTGTAATGTTGGTAGATCCGAACTCAAGCCCATTTGTTCTTGAGAAAGACATAGAAGAATGATTTCACCCGCTGTTATCGTTTTTTGCTTTAGATTTCAATCAAGGTTGTACTTCCCATTCATCTCTGTAGTAAATGTGGGTTTTGGGGGGAAGGAAACAAGGGAATTCTTTCTTTCTTAGTAATGTAATTTAGAAGGGCTCTTTCTAGAGCTGATGCTTTTATAAAACGGAAAAGAGAGAAACTGAAAAAGGAAAGGGTTTATTTTCTTAAATCGGTAACCGCCAGGTGCTTGAAAAAAATAAAACGATGAAATGGCGTCAATCAAAATATTTCCAATGCCGTAAAGCAAAAAGACCTTTACGGCTACGTGATAAGAACCCGTTAACTTTGGATATTGAGACTTTCTTTCCTAGGAGGACCAAGATACATGCAGAGTGTCTTTCTAACAAGCTTTGAAACTTTCGTCTTTAGGTTTTGCAAATTAAAAAAAAAAAAAGACATTTTCAACAGGCACTGATTTAATTACTGGTTATCAGGATTTTCTGGGGTTGGGTGGGAGAGTAGCACGTTTAAGCTGAAAGTTTGATTGACAGCCAGCAACATGGTGGGCTTTACTTAGCAAACGTAACACCCTTTGCTACAGGCAGCTGAATGAAGTTACGTTTCACTTCGTTTATAAAACGCGACAGACACGGGTGACTCTGGAAAGGACAAATACACTGGAGATCGATTAACAGCGAGGGTGTTTTCTTTTCAAAATAAAAAGCCCCACAAATTATTCATTTCAGTATGCAGTGCCAGCTTTAAAAGATCATTTCCATTTATGAAAACAAAAGAAACTCCTAGCCCCGATGAAACGGAGTCTCAACTCTACAGAAAAAAACAAAACAAAAAACAGCATACAGAGTCACTTCGCTTTCTCTCATTATTAGAAAACACAATCTGCTCTTTTCAGCGTGGATTTGCGTACATGATTTTTCTCTTTTACTCCACAGCAGAATTTCATTCACTTCCTGGCTGAAAACATGACGTTAAAGAAAGAAAATAAAAAACGACGACACGAAATTAAGGACTAGGAATGACTACTTTGAATACAAAACCGAGCAAGGGGGTCGAATTCAAGGCCCGGGACCCGGATACGGCCCACGGGAGGCTTAGATCTGGCCCGCGGGGCTGCCCTCGAAACAGCAAAGGACCGTCCCGCGGTGCCTCTGCCAGCGAAAATGGAGCTCGGGAGGGCTGCACGCGGCTCCTCCCGAGCTCCGTTTTCGCTGGCAGAGGGTTGCAGGAGGCTGTCGCAGCCGGAAACAGAGTTTGGGAGCCTGTTTTCGCTGGCAGAGCGCTTGGGCGTCTAACAGGCACCCCTGACATGAGTGATGTTGAGGTGGCCATGCCCATCCGCCCCGCCCCTACCGAGGTCAAACACAACCATGATGAGGCCCTCATTGAAATTGAGTTTGACACCCCCCTGAAATAGAGAAAAGGGGAAAAGAAGAAAAAAAATAGCTAAAGTGATGAGGACAGGAGATTTTCATGACAAACCACCAATCGCTAACTACTTTTATTCATCACAATCCTTTTCAACTTTCTGTAACACCCACTCCAAATATCATAATTTACAAAAAAAAAGAGCAAGAGGTTACTTGACAAGTAAAAAAAACATGACCAAAACTACATGGCTTCTTGACCATTTCTGTTATTTGCTTAAATCAAGACCCTGGAAAATCGTGAGCCCTGGAAAAGTATAGTCCCAATTTGCAACGCAAGGAAAGCATGACCCCAAAAGGAAACTCAAGGCTAGCACATCTGCCCCCTCTCCCCCCCCCCAAAAAAAGCCAACCCCCCTTTTCCGTGAGGCTGCTGTAAAAAACGAACTAACTAGTAGGCTCTCTCTTAAAAACTACCAACTCAGTTGCAGAGAGGGGGGGAAAATACAACATCATTTGCCAAGGCTGCTTTGGTAGGAAGCTTCTGCACTGTTCAGGGCAAAAAAAAATCTACAAAATTAGATTTCTAATTTTGTTTTTCCTCCCAGGGAATACGACGAGGGGTTAAAAAAACAAAAAACGATTCACTGTAAATGGTTAACCTGCTTATCCTGTAGAAAAAGGTCCAGATCTTATAATTTCTTCCATCTACCCTACCCAGTCCAAAAAAAAAAAAAAAGTGAAATACAATGGCACAGCCACTGAGTTAAGCTTAATCACTGGGGTAATAAGAACAAGTGTTAACGTTTAGAGAAAGTGTCTCCATTCTCTTTTAAGGAGGGCCCACATGCATTACCAACAATATACAATTGCTTACCGTGTTTTTCACACTATAAGACGCATCTCTCCCCTCCCCAAGTGGGTGGAAATGTCTGTGCGTCTTATAGAACGAATATTGAGACAGAGGGACAGCGGTTGGTGTGGTGGCAGCATTTGCCACCACCTACCACTGCTGCCACCATTCACCGCCACGGAACACTGGAACCTTTGCTGCCGAGCAGCTGATCGGCGATTGGATCAGCTTCCTGGAATACCCCCGATCAGCTGTTCTTGGTGATGGGGATTGCCGCCGCTGATTGGCAGCGATCCCCGCCTCCTAGAAAAACCAGGAGGCTGATCCAGCCGCCAATCAGCTGCTTGGCAGCAAAGGCCCTTGTGTTTCCGGCAGCAGCAGCAGCAGCTCAGCTCCATTGACGGTGATGGACACAACTGAGCGGAAGGAACCCTGACAAGCCACATGCTGGGGACTGCGATAACGTGCTGAAGCTGACCAGGCTGTTTGCTGCAAGGACGCTAACTGGATGAATACCGGATGGATGCTTGGAGGCAGATTTTTATTTTCTCGTTTTCTGCCTCGAAAGCTATGTGTGCGTCATATGGTCCAGTTCGAAAAATACTGTATTTCAAAGCCAACCAAAAAAAATGGCTAGGCCTCTTTCGCCGTTAAGCTTGGTTTCGTGAGAACAAGCATGATTTGGACCCTTATAAAGTTCCATTGCAAGAACGCACTGATTTCTATTTTAAAAAATAAAAAAAAATATTTCCCCACCCACCCATCCAGGGACACCCTCCCCCCACAACATCAGTAAGAAAACCTAGCTGGGTGCCTGTTTTGTGGTCACAATGAAACCCTTTTCAGCATTAAAGTGCTAACATGAAAATAGAAGTAAGTGGTTCAAGAAAGATATATATTCCTGTTATTCTACACCTAACCCGGGGAGCAGGGGGGGAGGGGAGTCTCCGAATGGGAAACTTTTTAGATTTCGATCCATACGAATAAACGCCGAAGCGCCTAACTTCCTAAGCGTCTTTACACCTGTATTCAAGTATCGTTTTATTTCCTGACCAATTTTTTGTTGTTGTTCACAAGTTCAAAAGTTACACATATTAACTAATTTTAAAACACTACCGTAGGCTAAAGGTCGAAGAAGAAGCACGCGGACGTGTTTCGTAATGGGAGAAAGCTCTCTCGAAGCTTCCAAGGGGCCCGTTGAGAAAGAGCTCTGGTGTTTTGTTTTTTTTCTTTTAAAACAACCAACAACCACAAAAACTTTCCTCCCACTTTTGATAACGAAACAAAACATTTCCCCCCCCACACACACACACATTTTTCGCAACACCTTCAGTAAGATTCTGGTATCACGAACTCAAATTCGGAGGTGCCGTCCGATGGGTTTTGTTTAAAGAGGGTTTCGTTTCCTTGTTGGACGAAGATGTCGTCCCAAGTCATTGGCTTCACAGGTTGGTTCGGGACCGGTTCCTGAGGGGTCTCTTTTGGAGGACTGCCAGCATAAACCAGGGCATTGTCATTGGCGACCGGGATATTGTTGGAACTCCCCGAAATGTAGGCGTAATTTCTGATCTGCAAAGACCGACACGGATGCAAACGGTACAGCTTTGATTCCCCGGTAGGATCTTGGCTGTGAACCGATCGAAGATGAGTGGCCATCACCTGATAATTGATAAAACACTGGCCGCAAGCCAAGCACTGGTACCGCCGCTCGCCGGTGTGGTGGATTTCGTGCTTGGTGCGGTACTCTGCCAGAGGGAAAACCTTCTCGCAGTAACGACAGGGGTATTTCTTCTCCCAGGAATGAACGTTGAAGTGTCTCCGTAAACTGGTCAGGCAGACGTACGATCTCCGGCACACAATGCAGATGTAGTACACCTTCCCGTCCATAATCAGCTCGTAGTGGTCGTCGTGTTTGACTTTCAAGCGCTTGCGGTTGGCGGAATCGTTGCCCGAGTTGTGCGGCACGTTGTCCAGCTGAACTTCCCCGTCAGCCTCGTTTTTCACCGGGATGACGATGTCGTAGGTGTCTTCGCCGATGTTGGCGTAAACTTTGCAGCCGGTGGACAAGCTTTCTATCTCCGTTGTTTTGTCTAAGGTGATGATCTTCTGCCCTTCGGTGACGTGCTTCGGCGCAACGTTTGGGGGAGCGTCCTTGAGGCCTCCGGAAAGAACATCGGAGATCTGGATCTTGAATTCGTTGGGTTGGGAGACGGGTTCCGGCAGGAAGTTCACAACTTGCTTCTTCTGGGCGGCTGTGCTGTCGGCCGCAACGGTAGGTTTCGGAGTGGTGGGCTGCTGGACCAGAGAACTGCTGCTTGCTGAACCGGGACTGGATAAACCCAGAATGTCATCATCGTCTTCCACATCTTCATCTTCCTCTTCTTCCTCGTCGATGACATTGGTTTCCATGTCAGTTAAGGAATCGTTGGTGGATGGCTGCTGGTTCTCCTCGGGAATCGGCAACACCTCGATTTCGTGGGACGGACCAACTCCTGGAGCGACATCAACCCGAGCTGAATTGAGCACAAGGACATTTGGAGTTGTGGTCTTTGGAGCCGGGGGAGGAAGTGGGTCGAGAAGCTTTTGGTTTTCAGCCGGATTTGGAAGAACCGTCGATGAGTCGAGCAGTCGTGGAGGCGCAGTTGTCACCGGTTGAGGGAGAGAATGACTGTTGGACGAGCTGGCTACCTCAGAAGACCCATTTGGGCAAGGCGGGATCTGGGTTATGACTTTGGTCTCCACCGAACGTTCCTTAGAAGGGACCAGCTCTGAGCAGAAAATGACATCGTCGTCATCATCCTCGGAATCACTAATGGTGATCTTAGCGGAATCACACGACTCCCGGTAGAGGGAAAAAGATTCCGTAATTATCGGCTTCCCGAGTTTTACAGGTTGGGGCTCAGACGGGGCTGGGAGCTTCTGGGCTTTCGGCCCATTGCCCTCCGGGATGGGCAGCTCCGAAGCGCTGGGTGTGGCCTCCGAAGACATGCTCTTCACCTGTTGCAACGGGACGCCCAGCTCGGCGAGGAATTTGACCCCCAGCAACTCCCCCGATTTAATCAGTTCATCGAGCAGATCCGATCGCACCCGGACGATTTTGGAACTGTAGATGTAGTTGAGGATTTCCGCGAAAACCTCCCCCCGGATGAAGTTCAGCTCAACGACTTGTCCCGCCACGGCAAAGAGTTGGTGGAAATAAGTGCTGGAAGCCGAAAGGATATTCCGGTGGGCTCGAAACTTGCGGTCCTCCACGATCACAGTGACGTCGCAGAAAAGCCCGAGGCCTCGCTGCTCGTCCAACGCTTTCAAAAGCATGCCAGAATATTGGTTGTCGGTAGCGGTGATGAGCTTCCTGGTCTCCATCCCTGGAACAAAGAAATAGAATCAAAATCCCTTTCTATGGTAAAAAGCGAGCACTCACCTCTCTCCTGGGAGAATTAAATATTTTGAGAAATATTAAAAATGCACAAAATTGTATTTCCCTGGATGAGAAACGGAGAAACGTGGGGGATTTTTTAGAGGCAGGAAGCAGACTCACTCTTCACAGCCCCCACCCCAGTAATTTTACTTACTGTGCAATTAGAAAGGAACCTGGCTGTTTATTGCCCTTCTAGCATAAAAAGGCAAGGTCTTTATTGATTTAGCCGATTAAAAATAGGGGTTCACCGATGGAGGCTGAGGAGGTCAAATGAGAAACGCAACTTTGGAGAACCTGAAGGTTAGTAAGGGAATTTGACAAGCAACGTTAAGGCGTGATGAAACACATCCACGGATTAACACACACAAAACAGGAGCTGAAAACAGGCCGCATATATTTCTTCACTGTTATTTCTCAACAGCTGCCTTACTCGGTGTACATGATATGTGCCAGAGGTGCCAGACTCTTGAACTATCACGCCAGCGGTGGAGAATCCTCAATAGGGTTCGCACCTCATTTCAGTATTTGAGGGGCTGCCACAAAGAAGAGGGCGGGGGGGGGGG